TTTTTTTATGGGAGTAGATAACATCATCTCCTAAAAAAGAAAAAATAAGGGGAGGGGGCAAGAAATCAATTAAATTTAAAATTATTTATTGATGGATGAAAGTTTAATCCAAACACAATCTGAACCAAAAGCAAGAGACGGAGTCTTGCTAATGTACTCAAAACCTCACCTAACTCATTGTCCTCAAGTCAATGCCAACTCATAGAGGCCCATCGGACTGGGTAGAACTTTCCCTGTGACTCTCCAAGACTATAACTCTATCCTGGAGTAGAAAGCCCCATCTTTCTCCCTCCAAGCAGCTGGTGGTTTCAAACTGGTGACCTTGCAGTTGGTAGCCCTATGTGTAACCACCACGCTATCATGTGGAAATTTAACACTACTAGCATAGTGAGCTGTGCATTGAGCTGCTACTGGATTGAACCCCCCAGCTGTTCCGAGGAAGAGAGATGAGGGTGTCTGTGCCTGCAAAGGTTTAAGTGGATAGTGCTACTTTGTTCTACACGTCACCATGAATTGGAATCAACTCAATGACAGTGAGTTTGAGAAATATCCCCCCTTTCCTATTAAGGTCATCAAATAGTCTCACTTTTGTTCAGATAATTACTTAAATATCATTTAACATCACTCCAACTGCTGTCTCGTTGATTCCAACTTATAGCCACACTTTAGAACAGAGCAGAACTCCCCACAGAGTTTGTATGGCTGTGAATCTTAATAGCAGCGGATTGTCTTTCTTCCACAGGGCTGCTGGTGGCTCCAAGCCGCCAACCTCCTGGTTAAGCTGCTGAGCATTTTAACCACTGCACCGTCAAGGCTCCCAGAAGTCACCAAGAATCTGAAAATGCAGCAGCATAATGTTAATTAACTGTCTTTTTCTGATTCAGGTAGACAAGTGATAAATAAAGATGGTAAAAACATTTCATTTAAAGGAGCCAGAGAATCCATTTTGACTACAAAAATAGTGGCATTAATTTAGCCAGACGTTAACTAATCACAGACCTGTTCTGTAGATTAAGTGTTGTGTCAATATTCAAATACAATGTTGCTGCTGAGGAACGTGTCATGGTACAACTCAGCCAAAGATACTGATTTGGGAGGCCTCTGATAGTCCTCAAGGAGCCCTGGTGGCAGGGGGTTGGTTATGCACTGAGCTGCTAATCACAAGGTCAGTGGTTTGTACTCATTCAAAGCTCCAAGGGAGAAAGATGAGTTTGCTGCTGTAGAGATTAAGTCTCAGAAACCCAAAGGGGCCAGTTCGCTGCTCTACTGTATCATATATAAGTCAAAATCAACTCCAAGACCATGAGTTTGGGGAGCTTATAGCAGTAGTCAAGGAGTCCTGATGGTGCAAGGGTGAAAGCACTTGGCTGTGAACTGCTCTGAAGAAGAAAGACGGAGCAGTCTGCTCTTGTACAGATCTGCAGCCTTGCAAACCCTATGGGGCAGTTTCCACTCTGTCCTAACAGGCAACTCTGAGTCAGAATCAACTCGATGCCAATGGAGTTGGTTGTTTTGGTATTACAGTCTTCACAAGCCATACAAGAGGTAAGAGCACCTACTGGATAAATCTAAAGATGGAATCATCAAAACCAATATTCAGTGTCTTCTGAGATAAAGGCACAGAGCAACTTTTTTCCATGAGTAAATCAAGACATAGCCGTAGTGTTGTACTTCTACTGCTTGGTGATGTTTTCAGTACTATAGTGTTGTCTTAATGCTTCTGATTTCCTAAAGTGGGAACATATTGACTTTAACAGATTACTTTATGGTCTGGAAACTTATAGGATGGAGAAATTGAATTAGAAGGTACTTGGGATATGCAGAAATTAATAAGCTTGGGTGTTATTACTAGATATGGAGAAAAACATTTTTCACAACCTTTGTGAAAAATCCCCATGCTTAGTGTTGCTGAAGGCCATGATGTAATTCTGCCCACTTTATCTTATTCTGTATTAGAGTTTGACCAGGAAACAGGTGGCCATTCAATTTTGAGGGTTTCCAACCAAACACTAAGCTG